CTTGAACCAGAGGGCAGCAAGGGGGGGGGAGGGGGGAGGGAGGGAGGGGGGGGAGAAGTCCGGGACCCCCGGTGCCACGCATGACCTGGCCTTCGGAAGGGGAGCATGGCTTTACTTCTAACTCCCTGACGCTTGAGCAGTTTCCTCCTCTTGACTCTCTGGAGACAGGCCCACGGCTGCTTCCGTGGCCTGGCTGGGAACAGGAGTGGCGACCCTCAACCCGATGATGGGGACCTGCGGGCAGAAGGCAAGCCAGGCTGTGGAGCTCGCTTCAGATCCTGCTGTCCCCAGGGAAGCCTCGCAGCACATCGGAAGGCGTCTCCAAGCCCACTCCATCTTGCTCCTCTCTCTCCCATTATCTTTACGAGGCTCAACACACCCCGGGGTGACGGTGCCTCTCTGTCCATGCAGCAGCTCAGGAACAGAAACCGGCCACTGGCTGCAGAAGGGCCTCGGCGCAACCAAGGTTAGCAAGGCCGAGGCGCTGAAAAGCCAGCCGCGAAGGGTTATAAAGCAATCATTGTGGGAGCAGGATCAGCCCTTCCTGGGTGGCCCAACAGGACCCTCAGCCAAGGTGCTGGACTCAATGGGCAGAAGCTTCTGAGTGGGGCTAGAGGCAGTCCAGCCCCCTATAAGATGTGGCCCTGGTAGGGGAGGAGCTGGGAACACAACCTTGGCTACTCCACTTCCCACTCCCACTGGCTTCCCCAGCCTTTTCTAAAAGCCACAAAGACCGAAGGAGTCTGCTACACCCCGGCATCGCCAATGTACATTATGTACATTTGAACTACAGTAATTAAACTTGTCGGCTCATTAAAACATCTCTGAGCATCTTCTGCATTGTGGCTCTGGATCCTATTAGCGGGCTGCCTTGTAATATGTTTACACAGTATTAGAGACACAAGAAATATGCTTAAATGTGTACCTCCACTACAGATGTTTGCACAAGACTAAACCACAGAGCTGCGAGGCACAAATCTTGGTTTTGTGCATGACAAGCAAGGCCAGGCACAGCCGAGCCTTTTCCACCTTCCAGACTGGTGCAGACTGTCTGCTGGGGGGTTCCTAGCCGAGTCTTAGCAAAGCGAAGCCCCAAACTCCAAAAAGATCAACCGCCTGCTCCGGAAACAGAGAAGGCCGGTGCTGTCGGGCAGCCTAAACGGGCATTCATGAAAACTGGAAAAGGTGAGTGAAGTCACCGCAAGAAACAGACAGACTTATTTTTAAAGAAAACACTGCCTTTACAAGAACAGCCACCTGTCAAAATGGGTGCCCCTCCTTCCATGCATTTGACTTGATTTTTTAAAAATAGGGACCTTTTAAGCAGCCGGGTTTAAACGAAAGCAGTGCTCAAATCTACGATTTAGTGAAGACAGATTTCCATGTATTAACCTCCCTTCATACATCAATTTGTTTTTAACCGGCTGCTCCATTTAAAGCAACTGGATGTCGACAGCCCAAATGGACATTTTAAACTTTTTTTCAGGGAATCTGTCATCAGTAAGTCCCTTAAGGAAGAACATTAAACTCCTACGTCAGAAGAGCCACAGCAATGTGCAGTGAACAATATGATTTGTTTTTAGTTAATGTGGAGATATTACAAAGATTTATACCTGGCCTTCCCAGAAATCCTAACACGGTTTAGAACAGATCAATAAATTAAAGTGAAACAAACCTGTGCAAACATTACAAAATGACCCAGTGCCAAAGCAGCGATTTCTGTATAAACCTAAAACTGCACGTCGGGGTGAAAACTCACCCTCCAGGAGGCAGAACCTCAGAGGGCGCAAGGTGAAAGCAAACGTTGCTTAAATCCTGCTTTGCGTTAATAAACTGGAGCGCGTCTACTCGAGTAAAGCGTGGCTGAGTTGAGCAGCAAATGAAACCGAGTGATGAATGGCCATGGGCTGCGACTCCCATCACCCTCCCCGGCCACGGGGGCAAGTGTTTAACAGCATGCAAAGAGCCAAGCCTTTCTCCTCGGACTACAGCCTCACACGACCTTCTAAGCCGGCTAGAAGAATCTCCTGTCTTTCTTGGAAGACACGCTTCTGGCTCTCACCTTTCACGTCATCCCACAATTTACTCCCAAGGACGCACCTAAGAAGAGTCCTAGGACTGGACCGGGCCAAGGAACACTCTTACTCCAGCCTTCGTGCCACGTAGTGGCTGAGCAAATACACGTGGGAAGCTTGTGTACCCGGGCAGCGGGACATTTGTGCCTTCTACTGATGCTCCCTAGCCATCCTACCGCCTTGAAACAATGCTGGGTGGCCAAAGTGTCGACACAGGCCAGCTTCACGGTCAGCCCTTGCCGAAGAAGAGAAGCTCCTGCTTCTGCCCAAGCCACCGTGCCTATTCCGATTATCACCTTGCAAAGATGCCATCTATCCTCCAGAGCCTTTTCTCTGCTTTAGAACTACCTGGGCATCGTTCCCCCGCCACGCACCCCCAGCCTGTTTCCCTTCCTCCTGCCACTCTGCGTCCTGCCTGGAACCTCTAGAAAAGGAACATCAGCACGGCATCCAAACCACAACCCGTCTCGCCACCAGGAACGACGTCTTTGGGCCAAAGCACGAAACGCGGAGCACGGCGCGACAGGAAGCCGGGCTGAGCAAGAAAGGAAAGAGCTACCTGTGCTGCTCCACCGTCTCGTGGTCCGGCAGCTCCGCCCCGCAAACGCTGCACTGTTCGCCGACAGTCCGGTTCTCGGTTTTTATCCCCACGGCCAGTTCCCCAAGTTTGCTAAAGAGCTCTCTCTGGATGAAGCCCTGCGGGAGCAGCCCTCCATAGGAGCCGAAGTCCATGGAGACGGCGAGGGCCGGCTGCACGTGCAGAGTTGGGGCCATGGAGGCCGGGAGGGCCAGCACGGAGTCGCTCTTGTGGTTCGGCAGCACCGAGTAGATGCCTATCGGCTTCTCCCCGTGAGAAGCCAAGAGCTCCGGCCCGACTGGGGGGCCTTGGACCGCCTCGGCAGGCTGCTCTGCGCCTTCATCCCGGGGGTAGTGCAGCTCCCGGGCGCTTGTGATGACGCTGCTTCGGGTCGGGGTGCCCGGCCCTTGCTTGCTTTTGTCCTCCGCCTTGTCCCCTGCAGAAGCGCTCAGCTCTGCTGACCTCGGGCTCCCGAGACCGGGGGCCTCCTCCACCTGCATGGCTTCGGTCTTCATTTCGGCCACGGCCGGGCACCGGCCATCGGCAGAGTGCAAGTCCTCGAGAGCGTGATGGGGCAGAGCCCCTTGCAGCAGCGACTGGCCAATGCTCATCAAGCTATCCACAGCGGCCTTGGTGGGGCTCATGGCCGCCAGGCCAAAGGAAGTGGAGACGGAGGGGCTGTGCTCCACCACCGTCCCCATCAGGCTCTGCCCGGCCAGGCTGGAGTAGCCGCTCTCTTCGCTGGAATGCTTGGAGATGAGGATGTTCTTGATGTGTTTGGACTTCCGGTCTTCCTCTTCTTCGGCAGCGCCGTCGGCTATGTTGACTTCGGCATCGTTGTCTTCTGACGCCTGAATGGTCTCCAAGATCTTCAAGCATTGCTCCTCCAGGTACTCGATCTCGAGGATCTCGGCCGCATAGAGCAGGTCATCAAGGTCTTCAACTTTAGCCTGCAAGGTGGCAGTGTAGGCATACTCCAGGATCTGCTGGAAGGTCTTCGGCGAGAGAAAGTCCAAGGTATAATGCTGACTGTTGCGGTGGAACAGGATCTCGAACATCTTGCTTGTGCATGCCAAGACAGTCCGGTGGGCATGAAACTCTTGGCTGTCCACCAGGATCACCACGTCGCACAGGGTCCCCGCCAGGCGCATCTGGTTGGCTTTCTGGAGAAGCCCGGTAGCGTGGCTGGCGTTCTGGAGCTGAATCGTACCCATCTTAGTCAAATCCATGGCGCTCCTCCCAGGCTGCAGGCATCAGGAAGTCTTCCTACAGCACTGTCTGGAGCTGACCTTTCTGGGGGTCAACGATCTGGAAGGGGGAAAGGAGGAAGGAAAAGCTATTTTAAAGGGAAAACATAGTCCACCGTCATGAGATTAGGGTTATGAGCTACGGAAAGCCGCCAAAGAACCCAAACCCAGGGGCTGACCAAGGGCAGGAAAAGTCTGTTACTCCATGTGGGGTGGGAGACAGGAGGTAAAAGGGGACGTCTGACTCGGCTCTATGCTTGGGTCAAGTCACTCTCTCACCAGAAGAAAACTGAGACCTCAGGGGGTGGGCATGGGGAGGGGATTGTGCTGCTAAATGGGAGAGGGACACCCAGTCTAACCCTGGAACTAACCCCAGACTGCTATCCTGAGCAAACGTTTTCAAACAAGCCCAACTCCTTCAATATTCAGCTCCTCTCTTGGTGGCCACCCAAACACAGCTGCCTGGTTTCCCCGCCAACAACATGGAAGTGGCTCATCCCTGCCTTCTTATGGGATGTTTCTTCAACGTCCCAGGTTCACTTCACCTTAAGGATTTCCTGGTGGTGCCCTTTCCATAATTATCTACCTACCTACCTACCTACCTACCTATCTCCCAAAACAAATTGGGACAGCATCGCAGCATCACTGCTCCCCCAACAACTACAGACAATCTTTTGAGGAATCCAGACAAGAATTCTGGAGCCCCACCCCGCCCCACCGCCGGGGAACAAGTTCTGAGGCTGAGAAAAGAAGAGGGAAAGGACAGAAGAAATGCAGCCGCCGGGGACCTAATTCTAGCCAATACTTGGGGCAGCAACGCTCTCTCGGAAGCCTGCTTTTCTTCCAGTGGATCCCCCCCAACTCAAGAGGGAGAGCAAAGTCTGGCCCTCCCTCCCCCTGGAAAAAAGCTTGCCTTTGTTAAAGGCTTAAGCCCAACTTCTTTGGAGGAGCAAAGAACTTATCAGCACCCCCCCCCCAACCTTCTTTAACACGAGCAGGTCGCCCACCCACACACAAGACAGAGCGGCCCCGCACGCC